ACATAATAAATAAATATTTAAAAAAAAACAATATGACCCTGCTTCTCCCCCCCCCCCCCCCGCCCATCTCTCCCTCCATAGATGTGAAGACTGGTTATCTTCAAAGATAAATTCTTAGATTTGTCTCTGTATAGGTTCTTGCACACTCTGGTCGGGCACAGCTTTTCACACTGGTTGGGTTTTCTACTAATTAGGAATTGATTTGCAGTGACCTTTCTTGGCTGCATCAGATAATGCGATTTCATTTCTTGTAGGTCATTAAGAAAGCAAATGACACCTTAAATGGCATTAGCAGCAGTGCTGTTTGCACGGAAGTTATCCAGTCAGCCCAAGGCATGGAATATCTTCTCGGTATGTCTTTGGTATTTCACACAGTGAGCCGTGACATGCTGCATTAGTATCAGTGTTCACTCACTCCGAGCATTTCAGGGCTGCACGCCACCATCTGCAGCCTCACCAGCAGCTGCCTTCCTAAGTAAAACGCTGAGGTCACGGGCAGCAGCTATTCTACTTAAGGTCTCTGTGGTGAAGTTTTCAAGTCTGTGGTAGTTGAAGAGATAGCTCTGTGGTTCTGAGAGCCTACTGCATTTGCAGAGGACCAGAGTTCAGTTCCCCACATCCATGTTACTTGTCTCACAACTGCTGTAAGTTCAACCCCAGGGGCCCCAATGTACTTTTCTGGTTTCCACTAGACCCTGCACACACATGGCACACATTCATACAGATTTGCACACACACCTGAATAAGAGTTAACATCTTAGACCATTAACAGATATAATTCATTTATTTTTGTCAACGAGTCTTAACTGGTAAGACGTTTAAGTGGCACTGTTTTAAGAGCATGCTCCTTGTTTTCTATGCATTCTCCTTTCTGTCAGTGACATAAGCAGATTCCTTACCTTTCTGGCTGCCTTCAGCTGTTAGCATCCAACTTGGAGCCCCCGTCTGATCCAGTGTTCCTCCTCCGCAAGCTCAGGCTGCCCTTTGGCCTGGGCCACAAGCACATGAGCCTGACATCTTTCAGACCTTCCCGCACCTGTCCTCTTGTCAGTAAGGCTTCTGCTTCCTCTTTCTCAAAATCCCATCTCTTCTCCTTAGCCCTGTTACTTTGAGCATCTTACATTTCTTTCTGTTTACACTACCTCCCTTCACTAGCGTGAACCTCTAAGAGTAAAAGAACTGGGGCTTGTTTTGTTCATCCCCACACCTCCAGTCCCTGACCTGGGGCCTGGGCACAGAGAGCACACTGTGTGCTGACTGATGAGCTGCTAGTGAAGGGCTTGAGGGCCGGGCACCTTGACTCCACAGCCATAGTTCTCCCACCGGGAAGTGGTGGCTTTCCTTCTAGGAGCTTTCCTAACATATCCATGGATGTTTGATTGGAGCAGCCCTTACTTCTTAGCCACTCCTGCCCTTCCTTTGGAGAAGAGGAGGAAAAGCCATGCTGTTGTGCAAGGTGATGAGGCCTGAAATTCTCCAGTATTCACTAACCGAGTCTGGAGCGTGTGCCAGTTAGCTGCCCTTAGGATGAGGAGGAACTTGGTACCTCTCCTCCTTGCTTAAGAATTCAGCCTCTGAGGGCTGGAGTGATGTCTCAGTAGTTAAGAGCACTGGCTGTCATTTCAGAGGACCCAGGTTCAATTCCCAGAACCCAAATGGCAACTCACTGATGTCTGTAACTCTAGTTCCTGGGTACCTGACAGCCTCATGCAGGCAAAATATCAATACACAAATAAGACAAAACAAAACAAAAAGCAAAAAAAGCCTCTGCCAGGCATAGTGGCATACACCTTTAATCCCAACACTCAGGAGGCAGAGGCAGGGGGATCTCTGTGAGTTTAAGGCCAACCTGGTCTACAAAGCAGGTTCTAGGACAGCCAAGACTACTCAAGAGAAAAATAATTCAACCTCATAAGAAACCATAGGAAAAGAACAGTCTCTAGCCAGGCTCATGCCCATAATCTTAGCACTAAGGATGCTAAGGCAGGAGGATTGCTACTACTTAAAGACCAGTAGGTTATATAATGGATCCCAAACCATCTTGGACTGCAAAAAAGCAAACAAAACTAAAACCCCCAAATCAATGCCCTTGCTGCTGAGACTGATGACCTAAGTTTAGTGACAAGACCTACTTGGGGGAAGGAAAGAGCCAGCTGATACAGCTTGCCCTCTGAACTCCAGAGGGGCACATGTGCCTCCAACTTGCAGTTTGAGATGTGAGGTCTCAGCTCTTCCTGCCACCACACCTTCACTCTGCGGTTGTGGAGTATAGATCCAGAAGCCCAGGCAACACCTTTGTCTCTAAATTGCCTAGGTCATGATGTTGCCTAGGTCAGGACGTTTATCACTGCAAGAGAAAAGTAAGTAATGCACGTCTGTGCTCTCAGACCCGTCTCCATGCAGCCGTGTTCCTCCTAATCAACATCGGCAAACCGCGGTACTGCTTTGTCCTGCCTGTCTTTCCCATGCCTAACTCTCTCCTCTCTCCCCATCAGGCGTCGTGGAAGTGTACCGAGTAACCAGGCGTGTGGAGCTGGGGATAAAAGCCACTGCTGTGTGCAGTGAGAAACTCCAGCAATTGCTAAAGGACATCGATAAAGTATGGAACAACCTGATCGGCTTCATGTCACTCGCCACACTCACGGTGAGCCTGCAGCAGCTCCTCCTCTTTCCAGAAGCCTGTTTTGAGTAAGATGCACTTATTAGAGGATGAGTGTGCCAGCTGACTGCCTTGTGGTGATGGAGGTCTGAGATAGCAGTCCCAGAATGACTTTGGAGTTCCAAGGCACACTGGAACTTGGCAAAATGAAGTGTACAACAAAATCTTTATCCATCGTTCTTTTTTTTTATATAAATTTTTTATTTATTTATTATGTACACAATATTCTGTCTGTGTGTATGCCTGCAGGCCAGAAGAGGGCACCAGACCCCATTACAGATGGCTGTGAGCCACCATGTGGTTGCTGGGAATTGAACTCAGGACCTTTGGAAGAGCAGGCAATGCTCTTAACCTCTGAGCCATCTCTCCAGCCCCTTATCCATAGTTCTTAATGTGTGTATTTGTGTTTGTGTGTGAAGGCCAGGGGACAACCAAAGATATGTGTTCTCACTTTCTCCCTGTGTGAGACAGGGTCTCTGTTGTCAACCTCTGTGCACACAGACCGGATAACCCACAAGCTTCTGGAGCTTTTGTCTGCCTTCATAGCACTAGCAGTATAGACATGTGACTTTACCACCCCTGACTTTATACAGGTTCTGGGAAATTGAATTCATGTCCCCACGCTTGCGCAGAAAACCGTCTTCCAGCATCCATCATTCTTAATTCTTACACATGCAAGGTTTTTTTGTTTGTTTGTTTTGTTTTTGTTTTTTTAGACAGGATTTCATCTGTAGCTTTGGAACCTGTCCTGAAACTCACTCTGTAGATCAGGTAGGCCTTGAACTCGTAGAGATCTGCCTGCCTCTGCCTCCCGAGTGCTGGGATTAAAGGTGTGCACCACCACCTTTAATTGCAAATTTTACCAAAATGTAACGGTTTGAGTTCATCCCTTTGCATGTTTTTATGCCCCTGGTGTTCCTTAGGAAGCTGTGTGGTAGACCATATTGCTGTCCGACACTCACCGCTGTTATTACTTTTCTTGGGTTCATCTTTTTTCATGTTATGAATAGCTCTACTCTGACTAACTAAACAGATGACTAACTCCCCTCTGGGTGTTACAGTCTCTCAAAGTGGATGGCGAAGGCCAGAGTGTGTGCGCATGCATGTAGCCTGCATGGCTGCTGCAACACTTTCCGGGGTAGCATTTAAGGCCTGCTGTATTCTAAACCATAACTGACTGGTTCTCTTTCCATCTCCCAGAAGCTAATCGCTTCTTTGGGCCATTTCAGCATTCTTTTGATGGAATACAGCTGTCGACGTGTTTCTAGTCATAATGCATATCCTAGGAAACATGCCAGTTTCCTGCTGCTATTTGTAGTGATATTTTGTTTGTGTTTTCACAAATAAAGCTTGCCTAAAGATCAGAGTGAAGAGCTAAGCCACTGGAGGCCAGGTGGTAGTGGTTCACACCTTTAATCCCAGCACTAGGGGGCTGGGACTGGGATTATGACTGGGTGGAGAAAGGAGACAGGAGCTCGTTGCAGTCTGAGGACAAGATCTTCCCTTCGGTCTGAGCATCGGTAGAGAAAGGTCTCTCTAGTGACTGACCGCTCTGCTTTTCTCTGATCCTTCAGCCTTCACCCCCCACGGCTAATTCTGGGTTTTTGTTATTAAGAACAATTAGAATTCATGCTACAGTTACTAGTGTCTTCTCACATTTCCCTGGGCAGAACCTTTGTGTTTCCATGGCCAAATCCGTTCTTAGTCCCTGGTGTGGTCATCTCTTCACAGCAGTCAGCACTGGGTGCCACTCCTCCGGTCAGCCGGGCCCCTCCTGCAGGAGGCAGGCGTTCTCAGTGCTCTCAGCTGACAGCCCCTGACAGCCAGCTGGTGCATTGTGTCCTAAACAGCAGATCTCACAGCTGGTGCATTGTGTCCTAAACAGCAGATCTCACAGCTGGTGCATTGTGTCCTAAACAGCAGATCTCACAGCTGGTGCATTGCTTCCTCTTTCACTGGATTAAGTTCTTAATGAGTTTAAATAAGGGGCTGGAGGGATGGCTCCTGAGAGCCACATTGCTCGCTTGTTCAGTTTCTGTTTTTATTTTGGTGGTGCTAGGGCTGGACCTCAAGATCCATGAAGGCCAGAGAAGTTACCTCTACTGGCCCATACACCCTACCTAGTTCTTTTCTTTTCTCTTTTTTCAAAAGCCCTTGTCAGTCTATTCTTTGTGCCAATACCAAGTTGTTCTTTATAAACTGTATAGCTGATTGTGTCATTTAAGTCCCACTTAAAATCCTTCAGTGGGCTGGGCATGGTGGTGCATGCCTTTAATCGGGCGCTCAAGAAGCAGAGGCAGGCAGATCTCTGTGAGTTTTGAGGCCAGCTTGGTTACAATTTGAGTTCCAGGACAGTCTGGGCTACACAGAGAAATCTAGTCTCAAAAATAACAACAGCCAGGTGGTGGTGGCTCACGCCTTTAATCCCAGCACTTGGGAGGTAGAAGCAGGTGGATCTCTGTGAGTTTGAGGCTAGTTTGGTCTACGGAGCTAGGTCTAGGACAGCCAGCGCTGTTACACAGAGAAACCCTGTCTTGGAAAACAAAACCCAAACCAAGCAAACAAATAAACGTGTGTGTGTGTGTGTGTGTGTGTGTGTGTGTGTTCCTGCAATGGGCCTCCGCAGTCTTCAGGACCTTAGCCAAACTTAGTGTGGTGTTTCCTGTTACTGAACTAGACTGCTTTCCCTCTGAGTTCAGCATAGTTTTCCCCAGAGGGCATTCCCAGTACCCTTTAGTCTGAATCAGAGGCCCTTTCTGTGTGAGTGTCTTTAGACCATTTCACTCTCACATCCCATAATGCTCACCTCATTCATTACTTATCTTATTATAACAAAATACCTCACTGAAGCAGCTTGAAGAAGGGTTTGTTTGGCTCCCAGCTCGTGGTGCCAGCCATTCTGGCAGAGAAGGCGTGGTCTTATGAGCTCCCAACCACTGATCCCATTGTGTGGGCAGACAGGAAATGAAATGGTGATCTGTGAGTACTGGTCCTCCCCCTTTCTCTCTCTTGTGTTCCAAGTGAGTTCCATGGTTCACTGTGTTCACAGCATAAAAATAAACTTGATAGTCAGGAGGGGTTTGCTGGCAAGAGTAGCAGAAAGGATTTCTTGTGTTCACCTTCCAGGCTCCATGTGAGCCCGACACCCAAGACAGAGCCCTGTAAGAGCCCAGTGCATCCGAGGGCTCACACATCCAGAATCACTGTTGCTGATGCCACTTCAGAGCATGCTTTTCCAGTTGTCGTGAGTGTACAGCCACCAAAGGAAGCCAGCAAAGTGTGCAGAGCATTGTTCTTGTAAAAGAAAAATTAGAAACTGCCTGAAAGCCCTGGAATCTAGAGAGTTAGTAAAGTAACCCGCAGTGGCTCTTCATACGAGGTGCTGTGGTATTTTGTCAGGGCGCTCTCTCCACATAACAGATCTGTTGCCACATGGCTGGGAGGAAGGCTGTCACATGATGATTAGGTTGTGCTTAGTGATAAAATCCCATGTTTAGAAGTGCTCTGCTTTTTTCAACCTTCTTTAATGAATATTTATTGCGTTTGTAATGGAAAATAAATTTTCCCTCTGGTAGAGAAATTTCCCTTTGCCTTCACACACTCGAAACCCTTCTGGTGCTGTGGTCACTTCCTCAGTGGTTCTGTGGCAGGGTCTTTAGCTGCAGTAAATCTACACAGCAACTTGACAGCTTCACTCTGCCGCCATCTTGTCCTGAGGCAGAGAAGGACCAGAGGCTTCTGGTCTGCCCTCTGCTTCATCCTATCTTGAAAAGAGTGAGTCAGGCAGGCAAACCCGAAGATGTGCAAAGGCTTTTGCTGGGGAGCATAAGGTTAATAAGAAAAGTTTAAAACAAGCAAGCAAAGCCAGGAGCTTGTCCTGGCACACTGTAAATCTGAAATCAAGTCACTTTCTGTCTCTTACCCCCTTGATTTATTTCCCAGGATGGTGGAGTGTTACAGGCCTCCCACTTTGCATTTACCTGTGAAGGCTCCTTGTTTTGGTGGCAGTCCGTTCTCACTTCTTCCTCCAGTCATCCGGCAGCCCTCCTCTTCTGGTGCTGCTGGAGAAAGCTGACACATCTTCCCTTTCCCTGAGCTCTTAGAAAATATCCCTGAAGCCCAAGGCCATGAGCCAAGCTTGTTATGCATTTGTCCTTCCGCTTAGGGTTAAGAATAAACCGGCAAGTGACCGCCCCGGTTGCTGGCCTGTGTTCACTATGTGAAGTGGCTGCTGTCACTAGGGGCAGTAGAAGTCATTTTCCTTGGGCTACATCTTCCCCAACTCCCAGGCTCCTGGGTTCTGCCATTGTTCATGAAGAGGACTTGCTGTAGGCTTGCCTTGTCACTCCAGGCCACTTTTGAGTTCACACACAACAAAATGCCAAAATCTTAGTAACATCGCACCGTGAGTTCTGTGACTTTCCCATCTGTATCACCTGTGCCCTGTCAAGCTGTGGCGTGTTTCACCCTCCCGACAGCCTCCTTGTACACTTCCCAGTCTCTGCCCAACTGTAGGTTTTACACCCAGCATCACTTTTGTCCAGACCTTTTCAAAGAAGCCATGGCATTCGATTTGTGTCATCATTTACCTAGAATGTTCTGTTCCGTTCATATCTGGTGTCTCTAACATACTTAGCAGGGCCAAGATGTTAGGGAAAAGGAGAAGGGTTCACAGTCATGCCTTCTCCTCGGATGCTGTCTGCAAGCCTCCATTCCCAGTACCCAGATCTGGAGATTCATGGTCTCTCCTCCGCGGTGGTAGAGTACGTACAGGGCGTACATGAACACTTGTCTTCACTTCCTAGTTAGCCATGTTCTTCTGTTATAATTGTTGGGGGTTTTTGTTTTGTTTCGCTCTGTTTTTTGCTCTGTGACAGAGCAATGATGGTTCTCTGTCCATATTCTTTTCCTTTTGAGAGTGGTCAGATGGCTCCTCAGTCTGTAAAGCTAACTCATTCCATTGCATGAGGAACAGCATGTATCTC